GCATAAGCTGTATTGTTTAAAACAATCGGAGGGATTATAGCCGTGTGACTGCTCACATCAAGCTTTACATCAGGAGAAAGCTCATGACTTCATTCAACCGGGCAAAAGTAAAAGACAGCTCTCTGATCGAGTCGAATTACAATGCAGGAACAAGAGGGAAACGCAGTTGAATGGGGGCTCTTGTTATCCTAAACACATGGGGATTGTGTGCCACTGAATGCAGCTTTAAGCTCCAACATCTGTGTGTATAGTTCAACCCACAAACGTAATGTGAGGATTTGAGGGGTCACAGATTCAAAGAGCAAGTTGTGAAGAGCGAATGTGACACACAATAAAGACAATTTACAGATTTACTTGAGCCAACCTGGACATGTTGTGAATGAACATAAATGTGTATGTTTGAGAAAGGCAAACAGTCCAGTGGATCTGAAAGGGAGATGTTCCTTTCACAATAGTTTATTTCAGCACAAAGTGTTCCAAATAATTACTGTTAATGGCATCACAATCATAACCATCCTACTTTCTACCATATCTTCAATATATCAGTTTGTGTTGTGATCTAAACAACCTGAGCGTTACCTTTCCCGCAGGCTCCCCGCTGAATGAAAAGAACAGGTGGCTGCTGCAGCTTCTGCGCCCGGCGGCTGACCCTCTTCAGCTCGCAGATATTCCGGTAGGACACCCCATCGCTTCCACAAACCGGCTCGGTGTCTTTGCACACGCAAGTCCCGGTCTTGCTTCTCCTCCTCACCGTGATAGTGTACGCCACCCCGGCGGAGACCGAGCACTCCAGCCCCTCTCCGCACACCGGGTCCCCGAGCTTCCCCAAGCCGCCGCAGGCTTCGCCCTCGCTGAACGCGCACACCTGGCAGCAGTGGCAGGCGTCGAGGCTTTGTCCTGCCGGGCAGTCGGCTGATATCCGGGGACACATCGACTTGTCACACCGAGCGGGACATCCGATAACATAGCGGCTGGAGATTTGCGCATCTGCCGGCGCGGACGCAAAGGCTACGATTACGCACAACAGTGTCCAAAACATGATTCTTAAAACTAAACTAAAACAAGTTTTAAAAGTTTAAATAGAAAGTGTAAAAGAGTTCCAAAAGCTCGCTCTCTGCTTGCAGTGTAATGGGATGAGAGAGCTCAGTAGTAATGAGAGGGGAGTCACTTCAGCTGGAGAGGCAGTTAACAGAAACTCCACTGCGCAACCATTTACGCCACTTTACGGTTTTTTTGCTGGCACCACAACATCTACGCAACAAACTTTCTAGATAATCTCAACAAGCCTGGTGATTGGTGCGTTTACATCACGTACTGAACGGAAGAGCTGCGGTGTTGGTGTTTCTCCAGAAGTGTGAGGATAAAAAAACAGAAGAAAGAGCAGAAAATAAACCTGCGTGGGAACTGATGTACAATTATCTCAGCGCTGTGACAGTAAGCTAAATATTTTTCAAGAAACTGCATCGCAAAAAGGGTAATGAAGTTGAGTTTAAATTCCCTTTTCTCTTGATTCCCTCCAAGGGGGATTGAGAAGGCCAAGGTCATTGAACCCTCAGAAAGCTATTTCAGAACACCTTCAGCTGATATTGGCATTGAACCTGATTTAGTTATTTACAAACAAATAAAAATAGAAAATGAAAAACCTAGTGGTGGAAAGAGCCATGGTACAGCAGTCCAGATGTTTTACACGCTGCACAGACCTCCACACATCCTGCAGGCCTATTTCCTGCATGTTTTTTTTACTACTCTGTATGAATAAGTTGCTCCTGGCATCCACACAAACCCTGTGGCTAATTATGAAAATCCGTTGTGGAAAAAGTTGGGTGGATTGTGGGATTTGTGGAGTTAATGCAACATTTTATAAACAGTCAAATTTGTTCTAATTGGAAAATTGCAAGACAACATCATTTATGATCTTATCCCAGCTGTATAAGCACCCAGCTAGCAGGGAAATAAACAACATCTAATGGGGACATCCAGATAAAGTTCAAATGTAAATCAATCAAAGAGTAATCTAAACAAGTCTTTCCATTTTGCCGCATACAGTTCTCCGAGAAAACTAAATCTCTTCGGAAATATAACCTTTAAATTGATAATCTGTTGAAAAAACACGTTTTAAGTATCAATGGACCAAATGTTAATGTTGGCGAACAACACATCTCTGTTAGGTTTAAATGTCTTGGGTGAGCTGTAAAAGAATGCAGTAAACACTGAGGCAATGAATCAGCGTAATAAAACTCCTCAATATAATTTGATTGATTATGGGAATGGGGTTATTAATGGCTCTTGGTTTAAATGGTGTGGCTGGATGCAGGGGGGCACCACTGCTGCTTGGGAACAGAATGGATTGTGGGACGACGGTTCCAGCTCTCGGGGTAACACAAGCCTCTGTATCCAAAAGGCAATTAGACAGGGGCATAAAGGGATGGAGGGCAGTCATATATGCTCTCAAAGACCGGACTGCCTTGTGCCGCACAGGAAACAGTGAGAGAGTACAATTTAGACCTGTAACCCTAAATTCAAGTTAGGCTGATCAGTTTAATGAGAGCACTATGTCATTTTGATGCATAACAACACACACATACACCGTCGACTGCTATACAAATGGATGAAAGTCATACAGCAGTAGTGAGACCGTACATCATCATCATATATGGCAAAACTCGTAGAGCTCAAGGACGTAGGCGAGAATCGGTGGGAAAATCCACACATGAAAACAACCTCATCTATAAGGAACACCCATTCTCCAAACAAGGCCAATGAGTTTAACCGAGGATGGACTGCCCTGAGGTCTGTGTGATCTCTCCACCCCAGTCTGCTCTGGCTGTGAGTGAAGCCCTGGAGATTCCAAATGGGGCTTCATTTCCACGTCTGCAGCCACATCCAAAGTCTTTCATCCTCCAATAAGGAGCTCAGATGAACCTTCATCCTTATACATGCGGGATCCAGAGTGTGCTGCACACACAAAGACCGGAGCCCAGAACGTGTCACGGCGGGTTACCTGACTGATTAAAGAGGCTTTACATATTCAGTGTTGCTGCATGAGCTCACTCTGTTAATAATCCATCTCAACATTCTGCACAAAGCCAAAGGCTGCACATGTGAAGAAGAGCTGATGAAGGATACAAACATGGAGGAAACGTATATATGTGCCGTATTAGACGGTATCTAAGTACATTTACTTGAGTACTCTACTAAAGTACTTGTGCTTTATTTCTATTTCATACTACTTAATACTTCAACTCCACTACATTTCAGAGGGAAATATTGTACTCATTGTTACTTAGCTTTAATTACTAGTGCAGATTAAGATTTTACCTACAAAACAGTAAGAACAATCCAATAATATGACATGGTGTGATAATGATACTTACATGGTTTTATTATAGTGATACTTTCAATGCACTTCATTCACAGTGGGTACTTTAACTTGAAGCTACTACAAGGAACCTTCATTTTGTGTTGATTCTGCCGGTCCCTGTGGTAATGGTAGTGTTTCAGAGCACCAGAGTCCCTTTAGATCACCTCTCATTTTACTGCAGCAGGGTCTGACAGCATGCCCTGCTCAGACCTGGTTCTCCTGTGCCTCCCTTCTCTCCAGCAGGCCCAGCAAAACGGCCTGGGCCTCCAGCAGCACTGGTGAGAGTGTTGGCTCTCAGCGGGGACTGGTGGGGCAGCGAGGCGAAGCTTTGAGCCGTCAGTGTAATCACATCCTGATTGTTTGATCATACAGAAAATTATTTCAAGCACATTTCAACTAAAAGCCAACTAATTGAGTTATTAAAGTTGAAACAGTTAAATTAATCAAACATCTGTTTCATTGTCTTATTTGTGGTTTTGTATACTTTTGCCTGATCATAATACATATTGTGCCTTAGCCGCAATTACAGTGACAGATTTCTTTAACTTTTTTTGCAGGTCACATTTTAAAGGGTCAGTGTGTAGGATTTGATGGCATCTAGTGGTGTAGTTTGTAGATTGCAACCAACTGAAAACCTCTTTGGTCACTACAAGTGCAAAACAGTGGTAATGCCGTTTGCCTCGCTCAGTTGCCACCCACAATGGTGCATAGTTACAAAATCATTTCACTACAGGTTAATAGCAGACCACCTCACTCAGACAGAAGCAGGACATTCTGATGTAGCATTTCAAAATTAAAGTCCTTCAAAATCTCATTCATGAGCTAACTTCAAATCACTGTCTTGCAATGATTATTTTAACTATGCAGCATTTCCTCTAACATCTAATCTGAAATGAGACAAATTGTCGGTATAACACGACAGCAACGCAAGCCAGAAGGCGGATGACGGTACCACTGTTTCGCACTCTGTGTGGCACAGGTTGCCGCTGTTTCACAAGCATGTCGGAGAACTACGGTGGCCTTCAGGTGACGCAAATATGTGAAACGCCCTCTCTAGAGCCAGTGTATAGTTTGTCCATTATGGGCTACTGTAGAAACATGGCGGAGTCCGTGAAGAGGACAACACAACTATTGTTAGTTTCAGGTCACACACTAATGAAAACATAGTTATGAATAATATATTCCATTTCTGCCAATAGATCCCCCGAAATGCTACACACTGGCCCTTTAATCTGTTGTAAAGATGTAAATGTAAAGAGGCCGAGTACAGCAGGACAGTCTAATTTATTTAAACTCGTGTCCAACTACACTAATTGTTTTGCATGCTTATTGCTTACAGTAAATGATTATGCATTTCTGTTCATCGTTCACTCTGCTCTCATTCTAGTAGATTATGGTTTGAACCAGTAGAACTTATTTCCATTCTGATAACTAAGTCATTGTATCGTTGATGAATGCTTGACTTGTGCAGCACTTCAATGGAAGTGAAGCAGAGTGAAGTGTTTTCCTCTCACCACCAGAGGGCAGAGGCAGCCGTGATGAGCGGACTAGCATTTACACCAAATAATCAAACCTTTCCTCCGGTGTGACTAAAGCTCACAGACTAATTGTGCTATTTGGAGACAGAAAAGCACAAAACTGAACGATACTCCAGGAAACCAGAGCACATTTTCAGTGTTTATTTCTTTCAAGTCATCCACATAATAAATAGACAATTCAAACCAATTACACCGGACTGAAAAGGGGTGAAATTGCTCAACTTGGTTGGGCTGAAAGGAAGCAGGCACTTAAAAAACAACAACATTAGTGTGTATTATTTATCAAGACTACAGAGAGACATTTTTAAATAAAACCATGAGGCAGCTGCCTGCTGCTGGGTTGGCTACACAGGTACACAGAATCGGACCAGGAAACGTCTAAAAGCATATAAAAGATAAAGCTGCTGCTCTATTCTGCAAACACACAGAGCGGCCGTAGATAGAAACTAAAAACAGAAAGACAATCTGAGGAATCATTAAAATGTTAACATGCAACGTAAGTGTCTGAGCTTAAATGTTTCTTTTAAATGTTCACAGATTGTTTTTTTCCGTTAAACGATGATTCATACAGTACTCATCTCTAAACAATGGACTGCAGGTTTCATTAACTCATCTGAGCCAGTTATTACCCAAATCTATCAGCACATGAAGCTCATCTATACCTGACGGAGCCCTATTGTTGAAGTTTTATTACTGTGAATTACAAAATGCACACAAGCGTACTCCTTGTTTACTTCCCACGTCATCCAGAGTCACAACAGTGAGGCCACAGAGTCTGGTATGTTGAAATATAGCACGAAAAAGAAGCTAATTTAGGATGTGAAGGGACGCTTTACCAGCAACTGTGAATAACTAAAAACTATTCATTGTACATGTAAGCTACTAGTAGTGAACTTCAGTCAACTAAAATCACACTGAGGATGCTTTATTTTATTTAACTTAACCCGCCGATCTATTAAAAATAAAGAGAAAAAGGCTGCAATACGTTTGTTCTTGCATTATTATACACATTGGGGCACATACAAATGTTTTGAATTGAACAGTCCTGGAGCTTTGAATTACAATTTGCATTGGAGTGAAAATATGATCTCAGACTCTGCTTGCCCCATATCTCTATCGCTGGCCAACAACAGTAGACAAATCCAGGCGAACAATAGTGAGTGTGTGAACGGACCACACAGGTAAATTAGCAGATAAGTGAGGTGATGAAAAGCCAGTCCTCAGTTTGAACTCTCAGACAAAAGGAAATGTTTGCAACCTTTAAAGTCCCCTTATCTTCTTGGCACAAAGTGGTTTACAAAAATCCTCCGTCACCTCGTTGTGCCTGTGCAGGTTAAAATAAAGCTCTGACACTGAACTCTAATCAGCACCACTTCACTAGAATTTTGTAGTTTTGTTTGACAACATCAACTCTTAGTAAATAAATACATCATTGTAAATGCGACAGCAGGCAAGCAGAGGGGAGGGGAGGGGGGGGGGGGTGAAGACCGGGTTGTCTTTGGCACACGAGTGCAGTTCAGTGGCGGTGACCCAACTTTTATCTTTAGCACACTGACGGAGGAGCTCAAAACACGAGTTGCATATTGTCTTCTGCCAACTGCTTTGGTATGAAAACCAATAGCTGCCACGTTTTTTTTCAACACCATCACATCACGCGCACGGCTTCCTCTTTAAATCTCCGTTAATGTTCTAAATGTCCAGTTCAACGGCTCAGACCTCGCTCACTGGCAGGTCGGCGTCATCCAGGTCCACGGGGGGTTCGGGCATGTGGGGCTCAAAGCTGCTCCGTCTTCGCCACGGGGACTCCTCGGAGTTATCGATGGTGGTCCCGGGTGGGTCGCGGGTCACTTCGCCAGGCGCGGTGTCTCCTGCAGGGACAGGCGTGCTGGCGTGCGGCTGTGACTGGGCCGTGGCAGCAGGCTCATGAAGTGCTCGCTGTCCCATGCCAGGCTGCGGGCGTGTGCCGCACGTGACAGCAGCCCCCCACTCTGGGTAGCATGGTGGCATGGCAGATATGGGCGAGCGAGGGGCGGGGGGGCCCGCGGGGCTGCGGTAGAAAGTGGAGCGGCCGCCGTGGTCCTGCAGCAGAAAAACAGCGGGAGAAGACACAAAGAGAGAAAAGCGAGACGACAAGAGAGTGGCTGTTAGTAAGCAAAGTGAAACCCTGACGTGTTCAGCGTATTTGAAGGGGACCGAAAGTGAGAGTTACAGACTTGGTATTAGCACCAGCGTGTGGAGCCGTATGCAGAGTAGGTACTGAAGGTTGAAGGTGTGGAAGAATGTAGCATTGCTAAAGAGGGGAGATGGTAGTAGTAGTAGTAGTAGTAGAGGTAGCGGGAGGAGTGGTAGTAGTGTCAGCAGGTTTTAGTTTTGGTAGTCTCAACAGGTTGCAGTGGAGGAGCAGAGTGCCGTAGGAAGCAGTGGTTGGTTGTTGCTCATTATTTCACAGCTTTTCATTGTCAGATTTCAATCTCTGAAACACAAAACAGACGAATGGAAAAGAAGAAGAAAAAAAAAACAAAAAAAAAAAAACACAGAGAAAGCAAAGAGGGGTTTGCCGCTGAGCAGTCAGTGAAATGTTAGTTTAGAGAAACATCCCAACTATAAAGAAAAGACTCAAATACTAATAACTGCCTCGACTTCCAAGACACTGTATCTGGACAGTTTGTGCCACAGAAGCACAATGACACCCTGTGAATTAGCAGGCCTGTTAAAATTCTGATCTGTAGATCCACGTAGGCTGAACAAGGTTTAAGAAGCAGTTTCCTAACACAAGCATGTCTAAAAGTCCCAGAAGGAACCACACACTTATCAACAGATGCTTTATGCTAAATCCAAAGCTCCAAAATCAAGCTCATGCTGAGTTTTAGGGACTGTTATAGGCAGAAATAATACAAAACACTGAAGACATCCTCTTAGCCCCTAATATTCATATGCAAACCAACACACTACTATGAAAACTAAAAGGTTTGTGACGCTAGACATGTGGATTTCAGCGTTGGTGAGTCCTCAATTCAAAGCTGTTTAGCACACAAACGGTATCGGTAGTCAACATGGAAACAAGCATCTTATTATTGTGTGTATCAGGAAGAGAGAAAACCAAAAACATACAGGCAGCGAACAGGAGGGAAGAGGAGAGACAAGCAGGATGTCACACATCTAAGACAGGTACACAGCTGCAGCAGACTGCAGAGATAACAGAGCACGAAGGGAAGAGAAACAGAAGGTGTGAAAGACACATGTACGCAGTAATACAGACAAGATAGAAACAGGCTCACGGTACTATCAGCTAAGCTGCTCATGTATGTGCATGGATTCTACATCAAATGTATTACACTGAAGCATCATAAATAATGGTGAGGACAGGTGGAAGCTCTGCAGGTGAAGCTATAAGGGAGGGGGGGAGTCATTCTGTATAGAAATATTACTAATTAGCATTTGTACAACTTGAGGTGTTCTTGTTTTCGGTTGCCGTGCCCCGTGGGCGACGGTCATCACATGCGAGAGAAGCTAAAATCAAGCACACCTCAAGTCTTCAGAATCCTGAAGCAAGTTTTTATTGTTTTAACCGGGCACCGTCGGAGCGCACCGAATGAAGTTTAAAAGTGACAGCGCGGCAAAAAAGAAAAGAAAAGGAAAAGCAAATGGAGGAGGAGAAGTGGATGAGGGAAGCAGCGAGGACGAGGGCATGAAGGGGAGGAGCGCTTGTTGGGTTATCACAGCCATACATGGTGGGTTGGTTCTGAGAAAATAAAGGAGCATCAGATATGCCGGAAGATCCGATCTGCTCTCAAAAGGTCTACAACCACAGAGGGCCAGCCAGTGAGTGGAAAACAGTAGTACAAAAAAAAAAAAAAAGGTGAACTTATAGTTTAAAAGGGGGGATTTAGAGGAGCTGACATACGTGCTGCTGCACTCCCCGATTCGAGACGTATACCTCTGTATACAAGGGTTCGACAGCCGTCTGGCCTGCCGCATCTGCAACAACACAGTGCAAAGCAGTATTAGAGCAGATGGGCTGTCGGCCCACAGGGAGGAGGAGGAGGTGGAGAGAATGTGACAAAGAAAGAAAAGAAAAGGGAAATAGAGGAGAGAGAGAGAGAGAGAGGGGGCACAGAAGAGGAAAAGGGGGGGGGGGGGAAACAAGCTACACAGAGAGAAAGACACAGGGGGGAGGAAAGGAGGGAACTGTAGAGAAACCGACAGCGCAGTGGTGTTGAGGATAATTCCAGTCCAACCAGAAGGGGCCGACTGCGTCAGAGGACCCTCTCTCCTCTGCAGTCGGGACTATGGAGCTGGTTTACTTCTCACCTGCTCCAGTCTGGCTGCCTGTCTCTGTGCATGTAGGCCGCGGATTTGGACGAATCAAGCGGTTCTAATCTCAATCTTCTCACACAGACATGGTGGCCTGTGTGAGTACACCAGTCCGTCATCACGACCTAAATTATGACTTATGTACTGACGTCCTACTTTAGTTATAAATCTGTGTAAGGGAGCCCGGCGGCTCAGGGCGTTAAGGCGCTACACAAAAAACCCACAATGTCCCGAGTTTGCATCCAGCTGGGGACATTTGTCCCCCCCGCCCCCTCATTTCCTGTCATCTGTTGATTCCCGAATAAAAAGCACGACATGGCCAACAATAAATAAAAAAATCTGTGTTTTGAGGAGGGATGAGGGAAATGCAGAACAGGCTGTGCCAAGTTCTATGTGAATACAGCCTATAGAGTTATAATAATCCATATAATCATTTCCTTGCGGCCTGGTAGGAAATGTCTTCAGGCCCGTTGCCGGTCGCGGATTTGGAGTTCGCAACTACTGGTGCAGAGTACACAAAGTAGGATTTAGCTTCATCAACCTACCGTCAAACTAGCGTTTCTGCTACTCTGCATCTGCTTGAGATGAAGTCAAAATGGAACAGTCTCCTCCCACCACCTGATGGCACTCAGTCAGTAAGTCTCAAGTCATTTCCCTTGTTCACAGGTACATTTGAGGTCTCCAGTCAGATTCAAGTCTACTTATAATGAATCCATACTATGGTGAAACTGTAGTGAGGTGCAATATACATACTGTGGCAGCAGACCTCCCAGGCCCCCGCTGGGCCACAATGGCCCCGGAGATGGCCTTAATCCAGCTGTGCATCTCCTCTTGGCTGTCCGCCTAGTGGAGACAAACGTAAAAGGACAAAAGACGAGAGAGTGAGACAGTTGGTAGACATGGAGACGAGCAAGAGCGCCATCACAGAGGTTTGTGAAGGACCCTACCTGTATGTAGAACGTCCTGGATGTAGTGACGACTTCAAACAGATTATCTCTCATCATGATGTCACTACAACAAGAGTGGAAAAGAAGTCAGATCGTATTTATCTCATCTATATCAGGAGAGATAAACACAATCCTCCTGGACTTAAGATGTTTTTGTGGAATGTGAAAATGCTGGGACACGTTAAATACCTCTGTTTGCACTCATGGACTTTGTGAACTTCCTTCAGCGGGATCATTCTCAGCGGCTCTTTCTCCTAAAAGTTAAGGAAACGACCGTTAACACTTAAAGAAGCCCAAACTTACAAACGGAAACACACAAGATAAATGTTACCGTTTGTATGCATGTCTAAAAAAAGAGGCCGTCTTGCAGAGTTTTCCGGTTTCATAGAGACAGAACCTCCCTCACGAGTAGCAGACTGCAAACTAAAAACTGTGGTAGTTGTAACTTTCTTGACCCGGCCATTGGATACAGCAGACAGAGAGTCTGTGTCCTTGGGGCCTGTTGATAGCCAAATAGACAGATAGAGCTGTCACATAAGGGCAGACACGGACAAGGACAGGGTATGAGATGTGCAGAATTATCCTGAGGAAAGTGTGTGTGTGTGTGTGTGTGTGTCTGTGTGTGTAAGGAAGGCCGGGGGGGAACAAGGCATGCCAGGACATGTGAAATGAAAGCATAGAATTCCACAAGACGGCAGATAAAACATGTTAGAACTCGGGACAGTGTGTTTGCTGTTACTCTGTCTCAGACTGTGGGGGTGAATCCAGTCCCACACACATCATCAATACAAATAAAAAAAACATAAAAGGCTTCACATAACTTAATTTAAGTGAATTACCAAATCTGACTTGAAGTAGCTCATTGAGTTTTCCTCCAGAAGAAAATATCGCCGTTTCCAGTTCCTCATCTGGAGGGAAAAAGGGAAAAGATGTTCAGACCATATATATACACATACACATACATATTACTCGCCCACACACAGCGGCCGGTACCCACCACAGCTCCCTGCTTGACGCAGTAGCCCGACTTGATGACAGTGTGCTCCTGACTCGGCCTGCCCAGGAAGTAGGGCAGCTGGCTGTGGGACCGATGCATGGCCTCACGCTCCGTCCTGCCTGCACCATCGCCACAGTCATGCTGGAGGGTAAAGGAAGCCGGAAATATTGTAATTACAAAAATATGTCCGCCACAATCCATGTCGGGTAGAATTGTTAGTTAAAGCAAAAGTAGTTTGGGAAAATATTACTATAGATGAAAAACTGAAAGTACTAAAGAAGTACTGTGGGAGTATTCATAGCTTAAGTTACATTTTTCAAAATAACATGCATTTAGCAGTTATGTGCACACAGTACGTCGTGCAGTGTGTGTGTGTGAGGTGTACCTGGGTCTGGGTGACAATGGGGACTCCTCCAATGATCTCTGTCTTATAGGAGACTTGTTTCTTGGGCCCTACGACATCCGGTAAAGCCTTCTGGTTCTCTGCATTCTGCTGCCCATCAGACAACTTTGGCACCTTAGGAAAAAACACACACACCAGACAATTTTTTATTAAACACACAAATTATAAACAGACATACACATTTTGTGGAATAGCGCTTTAGGATGGTAAATACTCCTTTTCTCCACAGATATAATCAAGTATGTAACCTTTAAAAGACATTTAATATCATTTTCTTTCTGGATAATTAAGGCGTCATGGAGAACAATGGAAACAGTCCTTTATCCCAGGACTGAATACAACAATACAGCATCCTGTTAGTCAAGCTCTGACTCACTCCTATCTAGTGTCTTGACAGACCAGTCATTCACTTCTACAGAAAAGGAAGAAATAAAAGCGATCAAACATGAGCCGAACAGATTAGTACGGATGACTCAGGGATAGAGTGTGTGTGTGTGTCTTACGGTGATCTTGGTGGCTTTATTGAGAGCGTTGACCCAGTCCACCAGGTCCTGCTGATCATTGGCCTGCAGGAAGAACTTCCTCATCCCAGCGTTGATGACTAATGGATCATTAAAAAGAGAGCAGTGGGAATAGTTCAAAGAGCGAAAGTATTTTCAGACACCACTGTATTCTCAACACTACATCATCCGATTCATCCTGTGTTCCACACGAGTCGCACGCAAAAAAGCACTAGAACTAAGGAAGTACTATGAGGTGGGTGTTGACTAATTGGGCTTTTGGCCCGTCTTGAATAGAAAACATGGCCGAGTGTCAGCAGAACAGAACCGCTGCCACAGATTTCTCTGGAAGTGAAAGGGACTCTCCCGGCAGCATTCCCTCTGCATGTGGAGGATGACCCAGCTGCCTCAGTCTGCCACCACCTACCCACTTCTCACCATGACGGAGGCCCATGGGCTACAAACCACTAAATATTTCCCGCACATTTTCCCGCCCATGTGAACATGAGCAAACCCCATTTTTCCAATCACAAAGAAAATCAAATGCTGATTAGCTATGGATCAGGATTTAGGAGGTGAAAGAACTCAAGTCTCTCTCTCTCGCTGCCTTAAATCCTTCAATTCTGCAGCTCAAACCATCCCTGTGTCTCCTGTGTTTCCTTTCGACACCATGGGAATGAATTACATTAAAGCTGGTCTGGTGAATCTAGCGGGGGCGAGCCGTAAAAGCCACTGGGAGCTCAAAGTCTGTGTCACAATGACGGTCATTCTTCCTAGTTTGGTCCGGCTCTTAAGACACACGCAATACCTCGCTTTCCCTGTTTTTCTTCCACTTTTCTGTAAATAAATCTGCCCGTCTGGTCTCATTTAATCTTCAGATGTGTCCACTGTGTGTTTGGTAACCTGCTTGGTAGTGGTGACAGTGTAGTGGTCTCTGGTGGGCACTGGGAAGACAAGAGGAGTATCAGATCTGACACATAGCTACACATCATAGAACAATTTATGCATCCAAGCACCAAAGTTCACACGAACACACCGCTCTTGATCTCTTTCCCCAACCGAGACACGCACAAGGAACCGCCCCGTACCCACCATCCAATCACAGACAAGTCTCCACTGTCTTACTGTAAAAAGGATCTGTAGTGTGACGCCGATTTGCCTAACTCCTCTTAATACTTCATCACCCGATGTTTCTCGTTGCTAGATGCAGGAGGATTCGTAGATATTCGCAAGAACATGTGGCACACAAACGGTAGTTTAAAAATAACTCCCTGCATCTCTGAATCAGGTTCCGATTAGGATGCAGGCATCCTGTCGAAAACCTCAACAAGGCACATGGTGCGCGCACACAGTCCGACACACTCAGTCACGGTAGTCAACAAGCTAGTATTTCCTGCTATTGAAGAGGATGGAGAGGGGGCTAGTACACAATAACAGGGAATGGAGGTTTACTACCAAATAACCTGATGATGGTTCCTATTTACTCACAACTATTTTTCTTTCCCGTCTTGACTGCACAGGGAGAAAAGACAAGGACAAAATGTCGAGATAAAACAATATCTTTGTTTCTAAATATCCACTGGTAGGACATGGGTCATGGCCAGATGGGGCTAAACCGACACAGACTACTTCTTTACAAGCGAAACCCGACCCTAAGTTTCAGTATGCTATAGAGCACATGTGTATCAACATTAGTTGATGCACCACTGTAACAGAAGAAGAACACAAGCTGATGTAAACGAGGAAAGTTTAAAACTTGTGGGGTGGGGAACGCACACGACATGCTTGAAATGCAACTTGATAAACAGAAACTCAGACCATCAACCGCCGTGGTCGCCTGCATCTTTGCGAGTTGGCTAAACAGACAATCTTGAACAAGGCCCGCCGGGTCAATGGTGGAGAAAGTATGTGGAGAGCAGCGCTTGACCAGGTGTAACGGGCAGAGAAGGACAGCAAACATTCCTCCCAGAGGTTACACGAAGTGTACTCAGCTTAGTCAACATGTGATTAAGCACACCGTCACTGCTGATGTTTGCAAAGCACTACAGGCGAGTTCTATACTTGAACAAGATGTACGTTTATTTGACAAGTTTGGTTATCGTTTCATATGATTCATACCGTCAATACTATTCAACACACAGCTACTCCATGCCAGTATAAAACAAATGATTTAAACGGCAAAAAGGTTTGAGAAATCCCTGAAAACTTTATTTTCTCACTCCTCCAGTAAACGATCAAACTAGTATTCTAATGCAGAGACATTTTAAGTAGATAGCTCGTCTGTGACGATCCTTGTTTTCTTACCGAAGCAGAATTCCGCCTTAGGCCTCAGCTTGGTGGCGTCGCTGACCTAAAGGAGGACAAAGCTCACAACTGTTAGCTTCCCAGTTCAAGAGAACACTGCAAGTGGTTTCTATTGATGCAGAATCGTTTAGTGTCAAGATAAGCTTCGGTGGTTCTTCTCACCTTAGAGATGTAGGTGAGCTTGAGGGAGCCCACGCAGTCTGTACCAACCGGCAGGTTCTGTGGGAGAAGAAGAACAATATTGTATGCAGGCAACCATGAACCACATCAATAAGGCGGGAGCCGTAGCTGTGGATTAACGACAGAATAAAATACGGTGGGAGAGTGAAGTCAATATTACAGAGTTAGAACAGTGTGCGTTGTGCACTCCATGATAGCTGCTCTGCTTCTGAAACTACAGCATCCAGATTTAACATCATTAAAATTTAAGCTTTTTCAATCTATAAAAAGAAAGAGACTTACTGAATTATTTAAAATTTCTCCTGCACTACACGATGTATGAATAGTTCATGTAACAGTGCACTTAAAAATGCAGCATCTCCAAACCAGCACGATGAACAAACTAAGAGGAGAAGAGTAATAACTGTGACACCGAGGGTCACGGAGCACAGAATCATGGCCACTGTGGTCAAAAGCAAACATGAGCGCTCACCACACGGACTTATCTCGACCACTGGAAGACTTAAAAAAAACCTAATCCCAGGATTAGAGTTTAACTACGAGTTCATTCAAATGTCTGCCGGTACCTAAAATACGTACCCAACCATCAGCCCTGACCTACTCCTGTGGCTTTAATATGGGCCTGACTGCCTTCAGCTAGAATTACACAATACACCTTCTCCCATCCTCGCATGTCTGGCGATGGAAACATTTAGCCTGTACTTAGTTTGGTGTCCATAATGAATGATGACAGCTTAGCTAGAAGTGGCCTGCAGTCACTCTGCAGTTGCATGAGAGCTGATCATTGACACTGTTCACTAACTACGGTTAGTTGGCATGCCTGTAAATTGTCACATTTTTCCGTCAACACATTAAACATCAGCCCGTGCAGTTACCTGGTGGGATCTGTTCTAGAAAACAAAGCTAAGAGCTAAGCTAACACAGCCCTGTGTAATTTACCTGTGGGTTGTCCATGAACCACACCAAGCTTCCCTGCTGCGTGTCCAGAATGAAGTAACGACGCAGGAACTTGCCACTGCTCTCGTTCTCCTCTATGTCCAGGAAGCCACAGTTGCGGTTCTGTCGGTCCACGTAAGGCATCTCGCCGCCGGGACATTCCCTGGCCTGCTGGGGCCGGGAGTGGAGAAGAGAAGGGGACAAAGCGGGAACCAGGGGAGGAAAAAAAAAATCCTGAAGGAGAGAGAGAGAGAGAAAAGAGAGAAGTGTGAGGAGGGAGGGAGTAAATGTCTTTGTGGTGGAGCCTTGCTAGCGTGACCCGCTCTCTCTCTCTCTCTCTACTGTATCTCTGGTCTCTCTGCCACCTGGAGCTCAGTAGGCTACAGCCTGCCAGGGAGATCATGTGACACAAACCACAACCCCGCCTTTATCCTTTTATGTCAGCCTCACCCACTCTCTCTCTCCCTCTTTTGCTCTCTCTCTCTCCCTCCCCCGAGTCCCTCTTCTCTCTCTCCCTCCCCCGAGTCCCTCTTCTCTCTCTCTCTCTATTTGGCAAGCCTCTGGCCAACCCCTTCTATCCCCTCCCTCCACAGCTGAGCACCCACTTGTGCATGGTCAAAAAATAAAATAAAAAACACGCCAAAGAGCTCAGCCATGTTCCACACAAAGGAACAACACAAACGCCCTTAGGAGCTGCGCGGGAGAGAATGTCCAATGTTTAACCTGCTGAGATTCCACACAACCCTGAAAACCTACATGCAACAAAATAAGTAAATGATTACGGTGCATCCATTTAGTCCTATATGAGTGTGAATGCTCGCATGTTAATGTCAAACCCCTGTGTGGGTGGTTGCAGCATTACTGTAGGCATATTGTCGCATTAGTCCGTTTAAGCCGCTGTCCTTTTGGACGGAGCCTGAAATATGTGATTGAGATGAATCTTTGGAAAGCAAAAGATAAAGACGCTCTTTCTCCGGGACATTATGAGCGCTGTGTGGGTGGACCGGGGGCCACGCGGGGACAAAAGGCCTGCTTGTTGGGCATGGACTCTGAGCTGAGAGCGTCTCAGTTAGCCCCCCTGCATCCGCCCGAGTCATCACAGGCACGAGAAAAAGGAGCAACATTGTCAGAGGAGACTATCTGAGCACGACACAAATAGGGATTGTTAGGGGAGAGAGAGACGTCTCTGTTGAGTTTAGTGATCCTGGAAAAAAGAGGTGATGCGCACAAGTTCATCTGCATTTCAGTGATGCAGAACAGCTGTTAGAAATAATGCAAAACAGCATCCCAACAAGGTGAACAGTCAGGCAAACATGTACGCTGCTGAGACTTTGAATTTTCATTCTTGTGGAACAATAAGTACACTAACTAGAGTAAGACCCATCCTGGACTTTTGAGGTTGATAGCAATACTGATATTATATCAAATCTGGTAGAAATATATAGACCAATATTCATTTTTCCCATAAATACGACACGTTAAGAAACATTTTTGAAAAAGGATGAAGGCGAACATTTTAAGTGGCTAAAATCTATATTTTTATAACAATATGAAAACATTGTGACGATGTGAAATAAGTCGCACACATTGATGAACGTACAGAGAATTATGACCTGAATAAACAGATTCTCTATTTTAATGAGCTTATGCGAGTTTCAGCTCATGTTTAGCTGTCCAACCCGCAACTTTACTATTTTGGTTTTATAACTCAGCTGTTCATCGTAAAAAAGCACGAAAAATAAACCCCTGTACACTACCCGCTCAGCACCAAACGGCCATTAGCGACGAGCTGTTTAACATCGTGGAGCGTTTATCAGCTGAAGAGACAGATATTTCCCTCAGGAGACCAAGAACAGAGCTTTAAATACAGGACTTACATTCGACAGGTGGCCAGAAGTACGAGTCCAAATGATTGATAATGTTACTCAGTAACAGCTGGATGTGTAAATAATCAACTGTTCGCCAACAGGTTCGCCGTATCAGCTTGGAAGTTGATCATCCAGGCATATTCTGTACGCCGATATATCGCTCACCCATAAACATGACGTGGATGTTTTTAACTCAACTAATTCCTAATCAAAGATGAACATTGTTGTCTGGCTGATGGACATGACTGCATGTACCACAGGGCTGGATTTGACTCGTAATTAAATAAGAAATTGACAATACAATGTATTGCAATCTTATCTAACTATACTGTTTATTTGCACAACTTTTGCATTTATTTTAATGCATATATTACCATTAGATTACAGTCTAATTACTTGTGTAACCGGTCCATTGTGTTGAGGACAAATACACACAGTACAGCCTCTGTTTGAGTAGTCTAGGTAGCACATCTGGGTTTCTGAAGCCAGGATATGATTTTCTGAAATGCTCAAAAACATAACCAGGACACTTCAAAAACAGATCATTGCCAGGATACTAGTACAAAGGCTGCTCATGACAGAGGTTACAGAGCCTGTGTGAAGCAAGCAATACTGTAAAAAGACTGAGTGGAAGTGAACAAGAGAAAGTGAGAGGGACACACTAACAAAATAAATGAGAACATGCAAAGACAAGTAAATATGAGGTCTAACTCTGAAGTCGACTTCTTCCTGGGTCAAATGTTCCCACGGTAAACTCACTCTTTACATTCGCCACAAGGCTTTGTCCACATCAGATGGCGGCCAACTGGTCACAAATGAGGACAAGTCATAAAACAACAGTACGGCTCAGCTGGATAGGCCACAGGATCAGGGTTAATATTCTCTTTACCACGATTTGGACTACTTCCTGCGTCATTGAAAAGCCACACAACAGCTGTGAATACCTGTGGAGGAGAAAGCCTATATCTTGTTTTAATGCCCTACCTAACAAATCACTAATCTAGGCGTTGAGATCAGATTTCATTGTGCACTACAGTAGTTAGTTAGGCAAAAGAAAATCCTTTTTGAGAAAAAGCATTGGAAGCGAACCAGAAGCAATTTTAGGGACTAAACTAATTGGCTCCCTGCAGGTCAAAGGTGGGACAGGTCATTCAGGTTCAGCTGAAAAGAGTCATTTCTGGTCAGAATCTTGCACATAAGACCAGCGGGGTTGACAGGCTTTGGCCTTCACAGTTACTCAGGCAGGGTCCCGTTCACCGCAGCGATATGCTAGTGAGGGTTTTCGTATTTGCAGAGCAGGACACAAATGTAGATGCTCACTAGGTTAATGATAACTAGTGACACTGACCGTGTGTCTCGGGTTACTAAAAAACAAACGATTTAACCGACGAGCTTCCAAATTACACGCGGGATAACGTTAAAATAACGTGTTACTTCTGCGATTCAAACGGCTAACGTTCCAGCTAGCTAACGTCAGATCACCACGACACGCCGACAACGTTTCAGTTAGCGGCATCAGCGACTCCGGCCTGAAGTTATAACTGGCAGATACGGGCTCAGGTTAGCCTGCTATTAGCAGCTACTTCACACCACTAACTTATAATAAAACGATTCACACAAAACATCGAACTTAATGTAACCACCTAAAAACTGCCACTGGTGTATTGTTGAACCTGCTAGCATCAACAGCGCTTTACTAACTCTTGTTAAGCGTTACGGGGTGAGCTTACCCGAGTCTGTAACGGCTACTCTCAACGGCCGTTGGTCTCGGTGTTGCTGGGTCTGTCCTCTCTGCCTCAGCCCATCTCCACTGAACCAGGAGCTGCTGCTGGTGGCGAGTGTGGAGCAAAGATTGTATATAATGAAGATGATCACTCTGTAGTGAAAAAACAAAACGTGGTTGTTAGTAGTTCAGACAGACAGCCAGATAGATTTATTAATCCAAAATAATAAGAGTAAAAAAAAAAAATATTGAGTATAAAAATGCACAGTGTATATATACAATAAAAATAACAGTGTAAAAAATATTAAATGTAAAAAATGCACAATATATACAATGAAATAGGATAATATTAAATTAACTAGCTAAACAGTAGTGCAAAGTTAAATGCATCATTCGTTATTTTTGTTTTGCACACACTGTCATTCCTCTATGTATTGTACTGCGTTGCATACACATGGGACACATGGACAATAAAGTCTCTCTTATCTTATTTTTTTAATATTTTTTTTACAATATGCCAAGTGCAAACAAAACAAAATCTGCTGCTAAAGGGCAGTGATGCATGAAAGTATGCATTGGCTACACCTTTCAAAGAAAAAAAAAATATATATTTATTGTCAGTTCTGCAACTGGAAACATGATTGTGTGGGACACATTGTTCAAGGATGCTCAATATGGATTAAGCTGCAGAAATGTTTTGGACATTTTTCTGCTTTTTTTTTCTTCCGACATGAAGTCGACTGCCTAGTTCAGCTCCATTAGCTGAAACAACAGTCGATTACAGATCAATCCATACAACCAGCAACTGAGCCACATTATTATATAAGGTGACCACGAGCACAAAGCAGTACCGATAACTGCCAGCATGTGTGATGCATCAAATGTGGTATAAAGCCACATGACACACAACCCTGGTATTAAGTTTGGATTCAGGCCTGTTAGCCTGTATTAAAAAACAACAACAATAATGATAAATAACAGAAAAAAAGCTCTGGATGTTAACATATGTTCCTTACTTGTTCTAACTCTTTCTGGTGCCCGGAAAAGGAGATAGGAGTGACAGCTCCTTCCTTTGAATCACCTCTACTGTAGGTGTAAAGTCTGAAGCATCGGGGTGTCAAGAGCAGCGTGTCTGCACCGGAGAGTGGTGATTTAGCGACATCTAGCGTTTCAAAGCTGCAGCTGCAGATCTGTCTATTTTCAATCGCACATTGGCGTTTTGTCATTGCGTAACATTCATTTTGAACAAAGGAACTATCACTTCAAGGAAGCAAACTTTGTCGTGTCTATCTACATAATGTCAAGATCATCTCGTTACTGCTGCTGTTCCTCTATCTGTTTTTATTTCCTACAGAGAATGTAAGCACTGCATCCAGAGGCTTAAATAAATACTTTGTTTTTGTTGGGGAACAGCTGAAGTCTTCCTGAAGATAATGCCATGACATTAATGAAAAACCTTTCTAATTATTATTAATATAATAATTATTAATATTAATATTAATAACTAATAATACATATCATTATTATTATTTTCAGTTTTCAGTCACAGTTTGGTTAGGTTTAGGCAACAAAACTACTTTAGGTTTAGCAACAATATACATATGCTACATTAGACATACAGTATCTAATGTGTGCCTGGGTCATATAATGAGCATGCAGCCACCAATACCTTTTACAAGTCCTGACTTTGTAGTCAGATCACATTTCTAAGTCAACCTATCTTTCAGGGATGATGGGCGGTAACACACACACACACATACACACACACTTTTTGTCTGCTGCAGAAGAACAGATTGAGTGGGAGGAGTGACAGGCAGACTGCTGCTGATGTTAATGAGGGTCACATGAGGGTTTTCCCCCCCCATGTCTTCTTGACACTGTGGATCTGCGGGCTGACAGAGGAGGTGAAGATGGAAGAGGAGGAGGGGGACTCCCACTCAGAGATGAAGCACTTTTCTCTGCCGTGGCCTCTCCCCAGGGTCCGCTCCCTCAGTGACACCTCTGGATTTCGCTCCAGAGTGCTGTTCAGGCTCCGGGGATCCCGCTCAGGTAGGATAAACCACAAAAACAAACTACGAGTCCAATCTGTAACCTGATGCTGATGTTGTGCTCCTTTAATCAAATTCCTTTTCAGCTGAGACATCAGAACTGAACCACCTGTCTTTCCTTGCCAATATAAAATGTCTCTGGTTTCTTTTGGTGCAGCAAGTTGTACTAGTTGTTCTTGGCCAGACAGCATCTCTAATAAAACATCTGTGGCTTCCTGCTCTCCTACACAGAGATACGTCCTCTTCCTCTCACATTTTGCTCAGGATGCCCCTAATAATAACACACAAAATGTCTTTCTTTACTCAAAATGTACAGTGTTGTCTCTTTTGTTTCATGATTTATTCTTTATCAACACTGAATATCATGTAGTGAGCTCTTTTTTTTTCCTTCAAAAGAGACTTTAATATTGAAGTTCATCATCACAACAAGCAATAATTAATGAATTATTGCATAAATATTGACTCTTCTATTATGACACACCTACCTAAATCATCAGGCGCCGCACAAGTCCCACAATGGGTTGAATGGAGGAGGTGTGACAGGTGGATTTAAAATACTGGCATATCCAGCCACTGGTTTGTGAATATCAATAAAGGCGAAGGAACATTTCAAACAAATCCAAGGTTATTGAAAAGTTCTGATATAAAATCAAAGTGTACATACATTTGTACTCAATTTACACACCAGTGTATGTGTGAATTAGTTTTAACTCTAACATTAAGGTTTTTTTTCTGTAGGTTAAGTGTCAAAATGTTGTTAAAATAACCCTTTCACGGGCATTGTAAGACTTTGGCCACGGTGTTATGCATCCTCAGCGTCTTACTTAAATGTCACTGTCACCGTTTTGCTGCATGAGGCCTTGTACAGGCTTGTATATAGTTTCAGTGGTTAGAACCACTTCCTATCAGCACGTCTTCAGCGTTTAAGCCTCAAACTCAGCCTGCAGCGGTGCTCTCCACCCGACTAACACGCCTACTCTGACTTCTACTGCGGGCATGAAGTTTAGTAATATACTGCTTTTCCATCAGGGCCGTCTGGCTCTGCAGTCTGATTAGTTTATTATAACATTTCGGTGATACTCATATGTTAGAAGTTGCAGTTATCTTGCTGGTCTTCAGCTGCCACAGGAAGTGTTCTGTGTTTATGGTTAAAGTTGTAATTACAGGAAATGCTCATGAGTGGAGCAGTCAGGAAATTAGATGTCTGAAGTTGATTATGTCTGTTGTCTGTTTGGATCTTTGAGCTTCATGGTTCAAACTGTCGAAGAGTAACTTAGCTAAAGCTGAAAATGAAACGCTCTATGGATTGTTAGGTGCTTCATGAATAATCCTCACGCTATCCATTTTTTATCATAGTTTTATGTATGAATTGAAAGGACAATTTTAGATTTCACAATTTAAATTCATTCATTAAAAAAATCTGTTTACACAAATGTACACATTGTGCTGTATTGTTCAGTGAAAAGAACAGTTTGTAAATCAAGCAACAGGGGGAGCTAATTCACCATGTGCATTAAAATGGCACCTCACACAAGTGTAACGTGTAACCTGCATTTTTCACATCCATCCCACAGGGTGAAGCTTCAAAAGCAGCCAAATGGGGACAGAGTGAGAGCACGTAATCCTGCTGCTCGCTAAACTACAAATGTAAAAAACAGTATTTCTCTCTGAAAAAATAGTATAAGACTTACAGCACTCTTTTTTAAACTTAAGGGTGGAGTATGATGGGATATTTCTCTTGCCCAAAGAAAAATGCCCCAGTGGGAAACATTTCCAGCATTAATAGCTGAAGGGAGGGGCGTCTTTTTCATGTCCATGTAGTTTATTTCTATTTAACAAACTCTAAGAAAACATGAGACTAAAAATAATTGCAGCCCACAGGCTTGATAACAAATCAACAGTAAGTATTATTTCTTTATGTCCAAACATTTTTTTCTCAGGGATATGAATAGCTTGAACTCAATTCACAGATTAACTTTGACCTTTTAAAGCTTGCACGTTGACGTAAACCAATAAGCCCACTTGTAGCAGCAAATGTTAATGCTTTTTTCCTATCGCTTTTCTAATATAAGAATATGATACCTTAATGTGTGTCTCCATATAAACTCGAGCACTCACATGCATGCATTTGTGTATGTGTTTGTGAAAAACAAAATCAATTTGGGATAATGTGTAGGCTGAGATGCTCTTTGCTATCTGTTGTAAATAGCATGCTGTCCTCCGGATGGGCGCTGTATCGCTCTTGTAATTACACAGACAGAGACAAGAAGAAGAGAAGAGAGGGATGAAGACAAAAGAGGGTGGGGGAAAAAGGAGCAGAAACTGGAAGGATGGCCTATTGATCTATTAATACAAAAGAGAACAATAAGGGACAAAGAGAGAAGAGGGAAGAGAGTCAAAGAGGAATTACAGGAAGCAGGTTTTATGGAGAAGAGGAGGCAAAAAGGGTTGCAAGGACAGGATGATTAAGGAGGAGGAGAGGACAGATGAAAGGCTGAACAGAGGAAGAGGACAGCAGAGGAGTGTCAGCTTGCTGGTACACTCTGCGGGTACTCTGCTCAAAATAACATTGATTACAGACCCTTTTAGTCTGCAATAACTACTAGTTAAATGCACTGTGATGCAGAGAGCGGCCCTTCCCCCTTCACTGCCCACACACAGTCCATCCTCAGCCACTGTTGTAGCTGTTGTAACACCCACCGACAAACCCAAAAAGCTCTGGTTAAGGTGTAATTATTGAAGTAAACAGTTTTTCAGGTGAAATTTGCAGAAGCTTGGGATGAACAGACCTGTGCGTGGATGTTCTATGTAACTAATTTGGTTTGTCATCTGAATGATTGGAAACATTTTTAATTTCATACACAGCAAATAAATAATACAATTTAAGATTCCAACGGGTATCTGAACAAGATCAAGACTCTTCAGCGATGCTACCGGCTCTGTGAGGTTCTACTACACCTTAATGCTAACATCAGTATGATAATATGCTCAGTATGACGATGCTAATGTCTTGATGTTTAGCAGGTACAATGTTTACTATGTAACTTTTTCCTTAGCACTAAG